TTTTATTCTAAATGAGCTCCATTTTCTTGGATACACAAATTTAATCTTTTAACGAATTCATTTTGAGTAACTTTAAATAACGTGTTGTGATGAATTGTATTACAATTCGTATTTTGAACCTCAGCCTTCAACTCGTTTACATTCGCATAGGATTTAAGAAATGAGTTAAATGTTTTATCCTAATAAGTAAAAATTTCTATCTCCAGTATTTAGAGTACTTTCCCTCCAGGTGGCATTACAAATTTCCACCCTGTATATAATGTAAATAAATAATATAAATATACACAAATCGAAATTTAATTTACATATATGTTTATATCAACTTATAATACAACTTTTATTTTGATAACTTCTTATATATGATACTATTTAACATGGTATGACAATGTATCATTTTGGATATTGTATGTCTATAGCAGCCTTTCCCAAAGTGGGCGATAACGCCCCCTTGTGGGCGCTGCAGGCCTAAAGGGTATGGTTTAAAGCACTCGAAATCATACTAAAATCCCTGCCATTAGGGTCGTATTTCCAGTGCTTGAAATCATACTCTGATCCTGCCTTGAGCAATAAGTAGAGTTCTGGAATTAGACACCGACTGAGCTCTCGACTCTCGACTACAACTTGTGAACATCAACTAATATTAATTAAGAGATTGCTCAAATTAACTCGGTTCGATATTTCTCTCCGTGTAGTTCTATATCTGTCCTGTTTTATTGAATAAATAAAATAAAAATCATGTCAATCGGTCGCTCCGTTTCGAAATGAAAGTAAACACAAACAAACAAATAAAAAGGCAACAGACACAGTTTTGTATTTTAATAGTTATTAGTATTCCCAGATAGGTAGTTTTCATCGATAATAGACCGCGGGCAATCATGTTTAACAAGTTTTTGTTAAATAGCCCGATTTGTGCATTTCTGTATCAATCGGCTGGTTCATAGAATACTTGTTCTTACTTGTTGAGTACGATTGAGCGTCGAATGAGATAAACGAGTTTATGCATGTTTGTCTTATTACTGTCGGTGCGTGCTGCCTATGCAATCCTATATAAACAACGTAATATTTATTTTATTTTCATGTGCGGCTTCGCGCGTAATAGGCAGTACTTAAGTGCCTCCTATGTCTAAAAACATTTTCGAATGAAGCAATGAAGCCTTCAAGACTGCAAGATCATGTGATTAAAATGCATCCAGATATTTTCAACACCTGGAGAAGAAGCATAATACTCAGCCAAGTGTAGCAAAACTCTTTTCGGCGGCTGCTAAGCAAGATGACGACGGACTTCGGGCTTCGTACAATATCTGTTTGTTAATTGCTCAAAAAGGCAAACCACACAATATCGGAGAAGAGTTAATTTTGCCAGCAATAAAGGAAGTAATAACTACTGTGCTTCATAAACCGGCCGCAGATATTATCCGAAAAATTCCTTTGACTAATAATTCTGTGCAAAGACGATTTGATGAAATGGCTGAAAACATCGAAGAATCATTGTGCAATCATCTGAGGACTAGTCAATTCTCAATTCAGTTCGATGAAACGACTTTACCAACTAATGAAGCATTGTTGCTGTCTTACGTGAGGTTTATTAAAGGTGAGAAAATATGTGAAAAACTATTGTTTGCTAGAAATTTAGAGACCGATACAAAAGGCGAAACCATATTCGATACATTGGAAAAGTTTTGTGATGAGAAAGAGATTCCCTTGAAAAATATTATATCTGTTGCTACGGATGGCGCTCCGGCTATGACAGGGTGCCATAAAGGCTTCATGGCGTACTTAAAAAATAAAATTCCAGATGTCCTTGCTGTACGTTGCGTTATTCATAGACAACATTAGTGTTCTCCCCCCATATTGTTACTCTATGTAAATTTATCCACTTAAATAACATATATTTATAAATGTTGTTTTGCTGTTTTGTTTTACATTCTCAACTGAGTACTCCCGTAGTCCAACTTACCAACACCGGTTAATGTCCTATTAGAGCTTAGCGAAATTTTTTTTTTTGTTTCGTTTTTTTTTCTTTCAACTGTGACATTGGCAAAATCATCAGTTCTCATATTGATGGAGCCATAAAAATAAAAAGTGAAGTGTTAGTAATAACGAAGATTTCAACCATTTGTTGTTTCATACTGAAGTTCGTTGGCTATCAAGACGCAATGGTCTGACTCGATTTTACAACCTGTTTGACTCTGTGATAGAGTTCTTGAAAACTAAAGATACAGAATTGCGCAACAAGCTCATTACATCAAAGAATGACATAGCTTACATGACAGACCTGTATAAATTGTTCAACGACATGAATCTCCAACAGCAAGGCAATGAACTAAATTTAATTAAAACAAAAATGTCGTTGCTGCTTTCGCAGCCAAACTGCTTCTACACAAAAAGAATATGGGCAGACATGAGTTTCACAATTTTCCGAATTTATCAGTATCCTGCAGTAACGACGACTTGTTTGCCTACTGCCAAGATTTAGAAAACCTCCACATTGACTTCACCGAACGATATCAGGACATTTTGAACTTGGAAATACCAGACTGGGTATTGGATCCCTTTTCAAATGTCAACGCAGCAATATCACCTCAGCTGGAAGAACTTATAGAATTGACAACGAACGAGGAAATAAAAATCAAGTTCAAAAATGGCTACCAAGAATTTTGGCTACAAAAACCGATCCCGCAATTGTACCCTGGATTGTGGTCAATCGTTCAACGATTCTTGATAGCATTCCCATCGTCATATTTGTGTGAACGTGGTTTTAGTGCTGTGACAACGCTGGTTACTAAAAAGAGAAATCGTTTGCATGTAGTTCTTGAGTAAATTGGAACCTGATATCAACAAACTCATTAAACAGCATCAGCATCACTGGTACGGAGAAACCATCTTCCCTGTTGAAATTAGGATGTTTTTTAATTTCAATAATAGGGTGGTGGTTTAATTCAAAAATAGCGTGGTTTGCATCAATAATAGACATAACTGGTTGAAGACTGTACCACCTCAGTCAACTGTGACCATGGGACCTGTAAAGGGCCCGAAACGTCGGTTTGTTTGAAAAAACAAATATACGCGATTTAAATCCGGAAAAATAGTTTCATTTCCTAAGTATCAGATTCATCCTTCACATTAGTTTTTATATCAGAATCGATTGTTTGTTTTATTTTGAATAAAAGATACTCTGTCTGTTTACTATAAAGTTGCGTTTCAATAATCATTCTCATTGGCAGGTGTAGCCCGTAAGAGTTAACTTGAGACCTGAGCGCCGTTGTGTGCTACCTACTGCGCTCAGGTCTCAAGTTAACTCTTGCGGGTTATAGTAAAAGTCTCGTTTAGAATTAATGTTTAATCTCTGCTAATATAGCTCACAATAATTAATTTAATTTGAAGTTATAGTGGTTTTTCAGTGGGTGAAAAAATGGGGCGCTAAACAAGATTTTATTGTCAAAGTGGGCAGCAGACAAAGTAAGTTTGGGAACCCCTGGTCTATCGGATGGATGACACACATGTACACATTCCACACAATTACACACCTGCAGATACGTATACACATACTTGCACTCACAGTAACAATTAGGTTAATCTATTTTTAGTCTGAAAAGTCAAAAATTACTGTAATTAGTGAAATGTGTATTAGTTGTAACACCAGTTATAGTAGATAGATAGACAGATAAACACTTTATTCACTGATATAACACGAATAAAGAAAATACAAAACATGATTGTCATAGCACTGAAACGGCGCTGACTCAGCACATGCCAGTTTCTTAAGACGCTGGTTTTCAGTCACGACCAACGAGAGGGATTCAATTATTTGAAAGCAAAAATATAATGATTATGAGTAAAGTTATACATTGACAATAATAATAGACATAGTAAAGTGTAAATAGTGTATCTCAAATAACCTGTTTGACATGTTAGTGCATGAGCGAGTGTGAATATAATTACAGCTGTAGGAGTAAGTTGTGACTGTAAAGGGGTTTTAATGTTGTGTAATGTATTTAGTATATAATATAATTATACACATAATGTGAAGAGATCAAAGCAACAACAAAATTCGATTCTAGACAAACCACGTTAGAGAATAAAAACACACTACACAGATTTTTGAAGTGAGAGCAGGTGTTGCCGGTACAGTGTTTTGAATTTGGGTTTGGATGTCTCGTTGCGTATAGGTGGTGGAATATTATTCCAGCATTTTGAGGCCGAGTATTTGAAACTACCTCGAAAAGCTGCAGTTCTATGTTGTGGTACCATAAGAACAATTTGATCGGACAGGTCGCCTTTAACTTTTATTTAACTGCCTCCGTGGCCGAACGGTTACCATGCCGGACTGCCACGCAGAGGTCCCAGGTTCGATTCCCGGGCTGGGAGAAATATTTGTATGGCCTACATTTATTTCTCTCGTGAGTTTGGGTGTAATTTGTGGTTGTCTATGTGTGTGCATGGCACCCGCGACACAGGGTTTCCCTAGTGCGGGGCTATGTTGAGTGTGAGCGTTATTATTATTATCGCTCTCTGTAGCGTACCTACAATAACACTAGATTTACCACATTAGTTTTTCATAAAGATATTCAGGTATTCTAGTTTTAACTATGTCGAATAAAAGTCCTGCATACAGGAGATTTTGACGACCCCGATATTTAGTAGATTTGCAGCGTTGAGATAAGGAGTGACATGAGCACGAGGGGGTATAAAAAACAAAGTCTTGCACATGCATTTTGGACACGCTGCAGAAGTTTGTGTGTTTTAGACAAAAGGCATGGACCATACGACGTGATACAATAGTTGATCTTAGATAATATCAATGCTTCACATAGAGAAATACGCAAATCAACACTGAGGTTTCATCATCTTAAAACAATATAAGAGCAAGATTACTATTAATATTATAGAAGAACGATGTTTCCTAACGCAGGTCCTAACAAGCCTAAATGGAACTATCCGCCCCTGTACTATGTATGCCCTTTGAAATGAACGAATAAAACATTTTATTTTATTTTAATTTTATTATTTCCTAGTGATTAGTAGGTTCACTGAACTTCACGCGCTGGGAACTCTTTTTATTTAATATAACAAATTGCTTAATATTTTACGAATTACATATCGGCGATGGACTTCTCTATTTCACATTTTGGACCTCCCCCAGAGAGGAGGACGACATAGTTTTGTTCACTCCCACTCCTTGAGCACTCGGTCCCAATCTTCATCGGGAATGAATGGCTGATCGATGCACCTGCAATTTATATACATAGTTGAGGATGAGTATTGGAATAGGTATAATAATATTTATTCACAAAAATAACATTTGGTGGCACATTGCGTAAATACAGTTTTTCGTGCTGTTGGGTAATGTTCCCAAAAATTTCAAATAGTGCAAATTTTTCCGGAAAAAATCCCGAAAAATTGGAAAAATATAATTTGGAAGGCTCATATAACTCCGTAGCAAAGCGGTTTGTAATTTTTTTCGCGCCCTAACGCGGTCGTGTACGGACGCCCACACTCCCGTTGCATAATACTGGTTGTCCCAACGCGCCTTTCATTATTATGCGAATGAATACGCGCGGCGGTCGCGTACACATGCAAACCACGCTGTTAGTTTGTGCGGAGTTACCATACTTCTCTTATTAACTTATAATTGCCTTCGTGGCCGAACGGTTAACGGGCCGGAAGAAATATTTGTGTGGCCTACATTTATTTCTCTCGTGAGTTTGGGTGTAATTTGTGGTTGTCTATGTGTGTGTCCATGGCACCCGCGTTACAGGGTTTCCCTAGTGCGGGGCTGTGATAAAACAAAGAGGTGCAGGACCGGAGAGCAGCAAGGTCGACAGCTAGCAAGGCTAGACAGCGGTTGAAGAACAGGACCAGAGGGCAGCTAGGTTAATGACGAGACAGTGGTTGTAGTGCAGCAGTAATATAGCAACGAGCTACAATCAGGTGGTGTTCTGTAGCATCTTGAGCGTCTTCTTCATTGGTTCTGATTGCGCGTCTCACGCACGAAAACAACACGTTTCACTCACGCAGGTAAAATAACCGTACTAGTCAGTTAGAAGAGTGTAAAGATGAAAACCGGGCTTAGTGGAACATAGTGTGAGGAACTTAAGGTTGACATCATGGAAGGCGTGCAAGCGCAACGGAGAAAGCACAGGGCCCGAAATGTTGAGACGTCGTATTCTAGAGCAAGCCACGCCCCCTACGCTCTAACACACGATCAGGATTAGCTCGACAAATACGCAACGCGGTTAAATTCGAATACAGAACTTTCAATTTGAATTGAGAAGCCAACAATGTGAACGGTCAGGTGCAAAAGCGCTTAACACCTAAACCGATTGCGCCACTGCTCTGGAACTACAGGGCAATCAAAAGATCATATACGATCACTTCACTACAAAAATTTGTTACTATTATAACATCCATTTCCATTTTATCCATTTGTAACACCTGACTATGTACATGTGACAATATAAGGTGGATTTCCACCGGCGAGGCGAGATGAGACGAGAATAGAAATCTCGCATGCGTATTTCGACCAAAAATTGCCATTAATAGCTCGCGCGAGAAATTGTGTTTCCGTTGCCGTGTATAATCAGTATAATACTCTGTGTAGGCAGCAATACTGTTCAATATTACATCAACAAATAATTCAATTCTCGTCCATTCTCATATTTAATAATACACACATACTTAATAATAATATTTAACATGTCCCGTAAAGCATTGTTATTAAATATGTTAACGGAAGAAGAAACAGATAAAGCCAGAGATGGGCAAGCGTATAGGTTTTAAACCGCGACGCTCTGTTAACGCCATTAACGCTATTTCAACAGGGCAAAAACTATTTAGAGCTAAATATTTATTAAATCGAATTTTGTTCTAATTGAATTAATATTTGAATTTCACCTGTATAAAAAACACCAGCAGTGTTTACTTTTCACTGATTGTAGTTAGTTTACTTTTCTCTGAATTAAATGTAACCTTTTTTTGAAACGGTTTCTTGATTACATATTTTTATACACAACACAAGGTGGAAATAGGCATCTAATATTTACATATTTCAATTGCACGCCACTGTACTTCACAATCTCGCCGCGACCAACTAAAGAGTTCCGACTACATTCCAATTATGATAAACCAACATTGAATATAATAGCCTCCTCTGTCCCATCTACCCGACCGTGTTCGGTCATGGCGACCACTTTGAGATGACTCGAAACTGTAGCCAACTTTCACGGCGAACTCTCGTGCACATTCAGGGCACGCGAGTACACCGCAACGTAATTATATCTATATGTTCCCTTATCTCGTCACGTTTAGCGTCGAGTTCAGCTTTACGCCACTCTTCAAACTCGTGGATTTATCTCTTCACAATCCCCCGCCATTCAGGGCGCAGTGTTGCCAAATCTTCCCATTGATTTTGGCTTAACGTTATATCCTTGAATATGTCGCTTCTGAACATCTTTATATTCGAGGAATTGACCGCCAAGTTTACGCCTACCCTTCTGGAGTTCAGAATAGAAAATGCGCTTTGCCAGTCTGTCCTCCGCTGTCGACGCATTAACTAAGACTCAATGCCATCGATATCAGCATCTGTCGCAGGACTTCGGTATTACGCACTCGATCGGACGGAAGTATTTAATGTGGGAACGGTCTATGGTGTGAATGTGGCGACTATACGGACGCCATGTCTCGGAGGAATACAAACATTTGGCAGCACAACAGCGATATAAACAGACACTTTCGTGGCCAAATTCAGGTCAAGTGAACATATCGCAGCCGCAGCACCGATCCTATTAGTAATTTCGGCATCAAGTATTGAAGGTATAAAATAATAAGCGAATAATTGACCTTTTTTTCTAACCATTGGTAGTTAATTATAGATTCGTGTCTTTACAACCGGGACTCTTGTATGTAAGTGTTAAGTATGAATCAATATTATCTGCAATTGACGTAAAACGGGACGTATGTTTGTATACAAATTCTTTCCAAGAAACAATCTCTCTCTCTCTTCTCCCACTAACAAATTAAAGCAAAGTTCTATCCTCCCCGGTTTCGTGCGGTATTGTTGAATAAAATATAAATTTTATGCAGGGAACACGGTAGAGTCGTTTTCAGATAACCTCAAAAAATGTGTCCCTTTCAATAACTTGTATATTATTACATGAATGCTAAGCATTATTTATTTAATAAGATTGCTTGTTTACTTAGTCAGAGTTACACACAAAAAGCCTACTTTACTACGCCACAGTAATAAATAAAAATTAAAAAAGTGGGCAATTTCTCATACATGGGAGCTGGTTCCACGTCACCCTAATTTTAAGAAATGAAGTAAAAAATTAAACACTCGTGGAAATTGCAATATTTCCCATCGAGGATAAACTCTAATAACTTTCACGGCGAATACATACCGTAACTTTCCAATTTATTATAAACAAATGTGTTTTCTTGGGAATACAAAATGTGTTTAATTTTTCTTATCATTAGTGTCATTTCAACTAAAAACCTGCTAATAACAAGAGTTCATCCCGCATCGCCTTCACCCAACGCACACGTGAGAAGGGGCTCCTGTCGGATTGAAGTGTACACAGTGGAGTAACTTGTGTAGTGACTAAATCGTTCTCATTTATGTAAAGCAATCTATCTAAATAAGTATTATGTAATAGTCTTACAAAGTTTATCGTGCATCAATTAAACAAAGGGAACTTTAAAATCTACGCACTTTTATAACAGTCCAGAACATTCTACGACCTTGACAACTAAAAATGTATCGGAATATCATTCTTGTCGCTCTCATCCTTGTCTACTTTTAAATGAAATAGTTACTTTATGTCGAACAGTTATTTTAAATATGACAATGAAATGGTGATAATATTGGTGATTATGGTGACGATGATGTGTATGGTAATGATAATAGTGATCATGAAGATGATGGTGGTGGTACACTAAAGTTTGTATGATTGTAACAAAATACTTATTTAGATTTATTTATTACATATAGAGACAGATAGATGGCACATACGGATGAGAAGGATTTTGATACAAGTGATATTAAAATATTCGTTACATGTTAAATGTTCTATACGATAAAATGCGTGTTGTAACTTGTAACGCTAATTTCTCATTATTGTGCCGTTTTTCTCATTTATGTTTGTGAGAAAATCACTCGTGTTACCGTAATCTCATTCGTGTGACATAAAATATCGTTTTTTTATTGTATGTCACATAAATATATCAGTGATTTAATAATTATTGACATTGTTTGAACTTATCTGTTCGTTTAACACCTTAAAAGCAAAAGAAAAAGGGTTTTACAAAAACTATGCAAAAAGTGCCATTGAAATTTGGTAAGTCATTCATTCAAATTCACCCGGTAGGTAATACATGGAATTACCGTTCATTTTCAGTAACGCGTAAGAGAGCTAACATTTTGAACAAAAATGTTCTTACAATTACTCGAATAAAAATTTCGAAACAGTCGAAAGTGGCAAAACGTCAAAGTTTGAAAAACACGATGTTTCGTTCGCCATTACCGGCCGAAGACGATCGACGAGTTCAACGAGACCCGGAGTTCGCAGCGGGCTACGAATGTCACGCGCCGCGAACTAGTCCGGAGCCGACCGGCGCCCGACGGCGAGCAAGACCGACCTGACGACGTGCTCGCCGCAGAAGAGGCACTCGGCGGCCACGAGGTCGTCGACCTCGGCGCGCAGCGCGTCCTGCAGCGACACGCCGGCCGCCGTGCGCGTGCGCAGCTCCACGGGCGACAGCAGCGCCAGGCGCCGCTGCGCCGCCTGCAGCCGCGCGCGCGCGCCCGCGCCCAGCGCCTCGGCCGCCGCGGCCGCCAGGCAGTCGGCGTGCGCCTTGTGGCCGCACGGGAACAGGTAGAAGGGCCGCAGCAGCAGCGCCAGCTGGCACAGGCAGCAGGCGTCCGCCGCCGCCACCAGCGCCGAGCGGTTGCGGAACGACTGGATCTCCGCGCGCACCTGCGCCGGGACGGGAGCGTCAGCGCCGGCCGGGGCCGCGCCGCCGGCGCCCGCCCCGAAGCCCCGCTTACGTATTCCGCGGAGCGCGTGGCCTCCTCCATCTCGGCCTTCAGCTCCTCGATCTGGTAGTTGTACTCCTGGAAAGAGACGGTCGGTGGTCCTTTTCCGTCCGGCGCCGTCGCGCGCGCGGACACCCGTCCGTTTGGAGGAAAGGACGGAAACATTATTACCTGCAGCGATTGACAAATGGGTTCCCGGAAGTGGTCGATGGTGACGACGTCGCTGAAAAAGGGCAGGACGTCCTCGATCTTGAGCAGAGGACACTCCTCCAGGAACGCCATGGCCTCCTTCAGGTCCTGGTTCTTGGCGATCACGTGCTCGGCTGCAACCGGAAAGCGGGCCGTGAGCCGCCGGGCGGGGGCGCGGCCGAGGGAGGCGAAGGGGCCCACCGATGCTCAGCCACAGCTGGCGCTGCGTCTCGACGCAGTCGGGCCGGGCGGCCACGTCCTTGGCCAGCGCCAGGTCCACGGGCAGCGCCAGCTCCAGCGCCGCCTCCCACAGCCCCAGCAGCGCCGACAGCGCCACGCAGGCCTCGGGCGGGCCCTTCTCGCGGCACAGCCTCAGCGCGAAGTGCGCGTCGTAGCCCACGGCCGCGGCGTCGCGGCCCTGGCGCCCCAGCAGCCGCCGCAGCGCCGCGGGGTCGCGCTCGGCCAGCAGCGCCAGCAGGTAGTTGTGCAGCGCGCGGTCGCGCACGCCCAGCTCCTGCACCGCGCACTCCAGGTAGCGCACGACCTCGGCCGCGTGCGCCTCGTCGTTCTCGCAGGCCAGCAGCGCGGGCAGCAGCCTGGACGGCGCCAGCCGCGGGCCCTGCGAGATCAGCGCGTCGACGGTCTGCTTGGGCCGCACCTGCATCAGCGTCGGCGCGAACTGGTAGAACAGCTCGGGCTCGCCCAGAGTCTGCAGCGTGTTGATCGCCTCGAGGTACGACTTCTTGTAAATGTTTTGGGCGACGACGTTCTCGTAGTCTTCGTTTATTATGGTCAGCTTGATTAAATTCTGCTTGTCGCCGTGCGAGGACATCAGGTCGTAGATCACCGACTTCACGTGTTGCATACATTTCCCCGCTTTGGGGTGCAGTAGAAATACTTCGAAATCGCTCTGTATCGCGTGGTATTCCTGCGAATCTTCGTGTCCCGTGCGCCGCAAAAGTCCCAATTGAGACAAATACAGCTCCGTCATCCAGATGACGATCATCGAAGTGAGCGTTTTGTCGTCTTCGTCGAGAGCCTCTAGACGCTTGCTCAGGTAAACTTTCAATGCGTTAAATTGCTCACTTTCCAGGAACTTCAAGCAAATTGTTTCAAAGCTACTCTGCGTGTCGGCGAAAACTTCTGCGCTCTTTTCATAATCACCCTTCGAAAAGAGCAACTCCGCTTGTTTTACGTTTATAATGTCTATGTAGGCGGGGTTGTTGTAGCAGTATTCCTTAGCCAACTCAAATTGTTGTTTATCAGAATATATTCTCCAAACGTTTCGTTCTTCTCTGACAACTTTGTATCTAAACACTGTTTTTTCCGTAACGGCCCAAATGGTTCTCCTTTTAGGGTCCTTTACAATATTCTTAAGCTTCCCGTGAGCTTCCGAGTAATGATCCTCGTACACCAATTCTTGGTTTAAAAGGGAAATAGCTTTGACTCGATCCGAGTACATAGCAATTGCGTGGAATTCAGTCAACACAAAAGACAAAGGCGTTTCTTTGCAATCGTCACTTTCGGTTGGATAATTAATGAGTTCACTTTGTGTGAATAGAGAATTAGAGTTTTGCTGAGATGTGGGATCTAACTGCAAATACAAAAACCTTTTTACATATTACATTATCTGACCTGACCTGCGTAAAACAATCCTTAAATTCCTGATTGCAATGTTACCTGTCCATAAAATATTCCCGGTTCAGTCAACCAAGCGAACATCTTCGGCGTGTTATTTTTATCAAAATAAAATTGCAGCTTTGAGTACTTCAGCGACGAAGGGATCTCTTGGAAACTCGTTTCGGGTGTCGTCAAGTACGGATGGAAGATTGACTGGAGCGACGGTTTGCCGTCCGTAGTAACTGCGTGGCCCATGAACTGGTACAATCTCGTGGGTGTGGTGACAAAGATAAAGTATTTACTCGTATTACCTACTCTATGGAATTGTAAGCCCGTTACGGGCGTATCTGCGCCTTTGCCGATGTCAAATATCTGAAAGCAATGGAAATTTAGTTCACCACGTTTGCATTTGACGTCATAAGAAAACAGAAAGTTCAAAATAATGGAGCCGATAGCTTGCAATGTCTATTTTTAATAGTATAATATGCACTTGTCTAACACAGACACCGGCACATATTTATGAGATGACAAGCAAACGCAGCAAGCAAAGTATAAAGAAACTCAGAACCAGAAATGAATTTGGCCGTACTGCAGCAACTCAAATGCTACAAGTTTTCATTATCATATAATATCGCTGATCAAACAGGTAATATCTACACATGTGTTTATTCGGAAGGACTTTAGTAAACGTGACGTCAGAGGGGGGGTTGAGGGGTGGTGAGGGGGATACGGGGAGGGGAGGAGACCACCCCTGCAAAATTTCAAAGTTAGGACGTCGATAGTTTTCGAGATATTAATTTTTTTAAATTCGAAAAAATAACCTCAGTCATATATTTTGACGTTTAGTGCACACGGACTCCAATATCTACCTATATCAATCCAATTCGTTTTTGCCCAGAAAGACTTCCGCGTTTGTATAAAAAAACTTAACCTGTATCTATCCAATTCGTTTTTGCCCAGAGGGACTTCCGCGTTTGTATAAAAAAAAAAACCTAACTTAACCTAAATATCCAATTCCTTTCTGCCCAGAGGGACTTCCGCGTTTGTATAAAAAACCTAACTTAACCTAAACAATCCAATTCGTTTCTGCCCAGAGGGACTTCCGCGTTTGTATAAAACCTAACTTAACCTAAATAATCCAATTCGTTTCTGCCCAGAGGGACTTCCGGCTTTGTATAAAAAAAACCTAACTTAACCTAAATAATCTAACTCGTTTCTGCCCAGAGGGACTTCCGCGTTTGTATAAAAATAAACCTAACTTAACCTAAATAATCCAATTCGTTTGTGCCCAGAGGGACTTTTGCGATTGTAATTTATAAACCTAACAATCTTTATACACAATGAACAACAATATAAATACGCAGTAAAAACTCTCTGTAAATGGCTAAAACGCTTACCGTGAAAAGACAAGAGAAATAAGAAAAAAACAAACGCGATAAATGACTTTGCGTTTTATCGCTGAAATTACGAAATTGTTATTGAATTATCATTACTATTTCAAAGTAACCTTATTAAGAAATAATATGTTAAATAGAATGTAAATGCTATTAAATAAGTAATAGTGTTTAGAAAACCAATAAAACATAATATACTTTCAAAATTTAAACAACACATGATATAATTACTGTGGAATGTCGAAACGCAAGACATTAAATTGCGTCAGCGTGCTTTTTTGACATAATTTTCGCATTAGGTACTTGTCAAATGCATTCTTTCTTTTAATATTCACGAGTTTCAAAACTTATTTTCTTGAAAACCTTTGGCGTCCTAAAACTGAAAATTTGTGGACTAGGTCTATCTCCAACATTACGAATTTAATTACAAACACGCCCAACTCGACGTTACGTATACTAAAGTTGAGCCGTTTATTCGTTCACACAAGTTCAATTCCTTTAAATAACTCAATAACAGCTCAAACCTATGTGTGGGTGTGTGTGACGCAGAAATGTTACAATGAAATGAACATTTGGAAAACAGCAGTGGCAGACAAATAAAAGGGGAAACTTAACAAAATGCGTATTTCTATTTACCAGTCCATCTATATCTTTCCCGCCGTACAACGGCAGATAGTTGGGCAGCTTGTCAGAAAATAGTCACATATATTAAGTACATATTGTTATACAGTGTTATTTTTAAAATACTAACAACCTCGCGGGACTACTATTGTCATCTTATACAACAACTTTTGTTCTATGACTTTTTACAAATAGATTTATCAATAATCAACTTTAGATTTTTTTCTTGTAATATCTGATACTTTTATGATCTGTATTTGATAGAAGGTAATTTTTATTTTATTTTATTTATTCAGAAAATATAATAATGTTAATATGTTTTGAAGTGCCGATCCCCGCGCGTTTATTGGAATTAAATTTATTTTTCAGTTATTAATACGAAATTATCTTTTTTCTACTCCTGTACTCCTGTTAATCTGTCAATAATTATAATCTCATAATACCACATTATTGTAGTGTATCGCAGTGGCTGTGCCCCTCAGATCTTTGCGATTTAAATTTCTGAGCGGCACTGCAACTGTTATGGACGGGCGTGTAATTTACCACCAGGCGCACGACTTGTTCGTCGGTCGCTAGATATTATTTAAAAAAAGACTTGCATTTCTTCGCGCATTCCTTCGTTTCGGAAGATTCTAGGCCGCTCTTTCCGGAGTTGCATTCATATACGTGCTCGGCGAAAGCAAAATTAATTTTAAATTTGTACTAGTTAACTCCAGCGGACATTTAATAATCTTTTTTAAACAACATGAATATCCTAACTTTCTTCGGGTTTTAAAAGTAAAATGTAAATGTCACAACACAACAATAAAGTAAATGTGACAAAGTAAATGACATCCCGCACTCAGTTTTGGTAAATGTAAAGTGGACGTGGTGAACGTAGTTTAATTTTATTGCGTAGGTAGTAGCTTAGCTGTAAATGTTAGCTGTTGGTTAAATTGCAATTAGGTATCTACTATTTAAGAGTCTACGCTACCTCAAATGGTTTGCTCGATTCCGCATAACAACGAAAGTGTTGAATCAATCACAAGGAAAAAATATAGTCAAATTGAGGATATGCACTGATTAACAATACGGTGTGCAAACACTATTCCTAAAAATTTTCACGATATAAAAAAACGCAATCGTCGAAATTTTACAAGAAAACCGGTATATTCAATAGGTACTTTACACATACCATTTATTTGCCACACACAATAATACAAAACAGAACATGTAACAATATTATCGGAACAACAACAGTGCGTGGAAGGAGCAAGCTCGTTTAATCATAGCGGCTGTGTACCACGTGGTAGGTACCTACTCATTTTCAGTCTAAACTTGTACCAATGATTTTATTGATTTTATTTATATTAACTAAACTAAAACACGTATACTACGCGTGAACGATCAAAATGGCATGAATCAAATGCCTTTAATTTCGTTTATAAAAAAATAAATTCTGAAATAAAGTCAGTGTACCTGCCGCTCGACCTAAGCTAAATTTTTGGGGGTTGATGTTGCTCGCTTCCGTAGGTTTACCCTCGATACTGTGCTGTGGTGCTAAAGGGCAACAACTACTGGTGGTAGGCTTCGGCCGAGGCTTGTCACCACCCTCCCGAAGTAGTCGAGTCGCCAAATGGTTGTCACCGTGGTCCGACTCGTGTTCGGGGTGCCATTAGGAGGTAGGGTCTGAACAGCTGCATTGCGGCTGACAACGCGTTGTAGCTGCTTGTACTGCCACACTGAGCACTCTGTTCTGGAGGCTAGCGGGATCCGAAGCATGGTGCACCGCTTGCCGACTGTGGGAAGTTGGGGGCCCAAGTAGCGGGAAAGCCACACGTGAAAGGCTGCCGCGCCACCCAACGAAGAATCCCGGAATGCTCCACCTTGCCAGTTGTCGACCAGAGGGGAGGGCCAGGTGGCCATCTCCGCGGTTCGGTCGTCCCCGCGGTCTCCAAACCGATTGTACCCTCGTGTGGCAGTGTGAGCTTTGCTGCTTGGTTGAACATGACCGAGGGCCTCGTTCAACTGCCTTCCTCCTGCCCATTCACTTCCCTAAAACAATAAAATGAAAAACAGAAACGGTAATAAGTTTAAACAGCGGTTGCATGTCCTCCCACTAAAAGTGCACCTTACTGATATCGGAGGTTTGCACTCACATCTCGATTAGGACGACCATCATCTTGAAACCGATAAACCGCACCTGCTGTTCCTCACCGAGACGCAGATCAGATGTCCGAGTGGCACGGCGTACCTCAGCTACCCCCGGTATACTCTGGAGCACAGGTTCCTACCTCGTGCCGGAGTCTGTGTGTACGTTCGTGATGACATCTGTGTCAATCGTCTCAAGAACCTCGAGGCACCGAGTTTTTCTGTTTTGTGGCTTCTGGTAGACACAGGAGTTGCACAAATAATGTACTGCTGTGTTTACCGATCGCACAGTGGAGATCAGGAGGCAACCAAGCTGTTCCAATATCTGAGTGAGACGTCTGATGAGATTCAGCATAGGTACCCAGCGGCGCTACTTGTCATTCTGGGGGACTTTAATGCACACCATCATGAATGGTTGTTTTTTTACCAGATGACCCATCATGCTGGGAGAGACACGCGTAAACTTGCGTTAACTTTAAGCCTCTCCCAGCTTGTCAGGGTGCCACTAGGATACCAGATGTTGAATCTCATGCGGTTAATTGTTTGGACCTTCTGCTGACAATTGATCCGGACCGATACTCTGTGGTTGTGGATGCCCCACTGGGTACTTCTGAACATTGTCTGGTGAAAACTGTAACCGTATGCTCCCCACCCGATGAGGGCCTTAGTGGTTTAAGGCAGGTGTGGCGATACAGGTTAGCAGATTGGAATGAAATGCGCCATTTCTTTGCGTCATATCCTTGGCAGGTTTGCTTTTCTTCAGGAGACTCGTCGAGCTGTGCTGATGCTGTAGTCGAGGTCTTGCGTTTGGGTATGGAGTATTACATATCATACTCCGATGTACCCAATGGACCCCAAGCTCGTCCATGGTTTAACGCTCACTGCAGTCGTGCTGACGCACAAAAGCTGTCCGCGTACCAAGTATGGGCAGATGCTCGACTGCGCAAAGCTCCGAGTACTCGGAATCTGAAGAAAGCTTGTAATATAGCCACCAAGAAGTGCAAAAGCGTGTTACGTAGGGCCAAGATCGACCACGTGCGCCGCATAGGGGCCAAGTTTGCCTCGTATCCAGCAGGTAGCACATCCTTTTGGTCCCTGGCCAAAGCGGTCCAAAGTAACTTTTGTCACCCATCTTTGCCACCTCTGCTGAGGCCGGATGACACGCTGGCCCATACTGCAGAAGGGAATGCGAATCTCTTTGCCTCACTCTTCGCAGAGAGTTCGCGT